TATATATAGTATATATATATATATATATATATATATATATATATATATATATATATATATATATATGTATACATATATATATATATATAAACAAATAGTAATGATAATAATAACAATAATAATGTTAACAATAATAATAATAATAATAATAATTATACATCATCACAACATAAGTAGGGTTAGGGGTTTTATACCCTGAACCATGCAATAACGATAGACGTTATAACTATCTGTATGCACACATATACTGAATTGTTGTAATGTATATCCCATATACTCAATCGTCGTGACATATATACTTTAAACTGTTTCTGCCGAAACATTGTCTGTTTGGATTTAATCTTTTCTTGTAACAAACGTGTGTCCTTCTATGTGGCTGTGAGGGCAGGGCATCCCACACGAGCTATTTCGAACAAGATTAAGGTGCACAAGCGTTGTGGATATCAAGGAAATCGATTCCAGAAAGATACAGAAAAATCCCAAAAAATAATTAAATAAAATGGGTCAGACAATGTGATTTGGAACAGGATCTCTGCTACGTGGACAGATACAAGCCGACTGACATCAGTAGTACTGGATGCGATAAACCCTTTCATCTTGCTCAACGCGATGTATGAATTCGTACGTATTCATAACTTTAATTGCGTATACGAGATTTTAGTACGGAGACAGGCAATGCTCGAGTGATAATCAATTGGTATATATCCAACTATAAATACGGATATAAAATATAACACGTATACAAACGATGTTCCATACACATAAGTACGTTTATATATGAACAATAAATACGGATATAATATTTTAGTACTGTTGCAGGCGATATTTGAGTATAAATAAATTCGTACATTTCCGTACAATAACTACGTATATTAAAACTATAGTACGTATACAGGCGAATGCAAGCGACGTTCGAGTTAATATCAACCAGTACATATGCAAACAAAAAATACGTATATCACATAATAGTACGTCTACAAGCAAAGCTCGAGTACATATACACTCGCACATATGTGACTGTTGATTGTAATACCTTGAGCGTACCCGCTGCCGCTGGTACAACCGCTTTGCCAAGGTCTGAAGAGACGTCTGTCTCTGAGGAGTGTGAGGTGGTATGGGATAGACTGAGTAGGTATATAGTCTATAAATAGACTTCGCTTGTTCTATAAATAGAACAAGCGCGACCATTAAGGCAGTGATGTTGTTTTTTACACAGAATGGTTGCGCGTGGTTTAAGAGGCGATACGATTGGACGATTAAACATAGACTGCGACGGAGATGTAATACAACTGAGAGCTCAGCGATGGGGTTTAGTTATATCTTAACCAAATACGCATTCATCGAACGGAGTGACCCGCAAAACATCCGAATATGAGCATGGACAATTATCGAGGACTATACACGAGCTTAAGAACACTACCTACAGATTGGAGGACAAATATATATATATATATACACCAAATAAAAGAATTGACCACGACATACTTGGATCGTGGGCATGGCCAATTAGCAAGGACTCGACATGTTCACCGTCTGTATCGTCTCCGTCCGAGTCTTCGAGTGACTCGTTGCCATCCTGATTCTCCAGCAACGCTGCAGAGATAAGAAACGTAAACATATCTCGTTAAATCATCATGCATTTTACATGCATCTCAATAGACATAACAGAACTCATTAGATCAGATATATATATATTATAATATAATATATATACATATAGATACATACAAATATACAAACACAACAACAACAACACACACAACACAACACACACACACACACACACACACACACACACACACACACACACACACACACACATATATATATATATATACATATGTTACATGCTACATATACCTGGCGTGTCTGTCACCACATCTGCTGCAGGTGGGGTCACAAAGTGCAGCATATCCACCACATAGTCTGGGAAGAAGAACACCTGCAGCCCAATCACTCGCACCTCCAAAAATTGGTCCAGTGTCAGTGTGTCGTAGCGCAGAGATACAGACACGACGTGGGCAGATCCCTTTGAGTCTCTGGAGAGGTGAGATGGGTATGAAGGGGATGGGGGTGGGGTGAAGAGGATGTGCTGTGGATATTGGTACATATTGGTACTATGGTAGACAATGTGAATGGTATAGAGAAGAATCGCGTTTATTTACTATACTGTATTTTGTGGCATGTGGTAACGCTTCATATACTATACTGTATTTGAAATAAATGGTTTAGCTTCTTATATTACACTATATTTGGAGTAAATGATATATACATGGTAAGTGTTTGGTATAGTCCGTGATATGATGTCTATAGCACGATTCAACAAAGTGAGGAGACCTGACCAAAAACTGAAATTTTGGAAAACATTTTTCATTTGTGTGTGACCTCGGTTCATTTCAGGACAAATTGGGTGCACCTTTCCAAAAATCTAAATTCAAAAATATTAATTAGAACACCAACTTCATATAGTCCGGAGCACAATACATACCAACTACACCACATTTCAAAGGACCTTTGTGTCAAGGCTAATGATGAATACCCGCACAAGTACATATTCGGATTGGTTCGTAAAACAAAGAGTAGATGTATTTATAGATATTAATTCTAAAAATATTACAGTACGTTAGACTCGAGTATGTTATCCGAGTCTTTCCATTTACACACGTATGCTATTCGATTTGAGTAAATACAACTATATTTATTGCAATACACACATATGTGATATCCGACCTAATGCGAGTATAGGGAAAATAGGAATAGACTGTGCAATAGAAAAGACGGACAGTTGAACAGTAAGTACAGCTTGAAAACAATTACTCCAGTGATACTACTTCCTCACAGTACTATACGAGAATGGACTAAAATCGAACCGAGGTTTCACTTAATTAAACAGAATTAAACAGCATGGCTGTTCGATGAATTGCCAATATCTTTGCTGCACTATACACGAATGAACTATTATCGAACCAAGGTTTCGCTCGAGTCAACAGCATGTAAGTTCAACAACAATGCTCTACTTAAAAAATAAACTAAGGCCAAACCAAGATGTCTTCAAAGTTTAGCCTGGCTATATACCACAAGCATGACAACGAAAATTAGGACAATTGCCAAATGCCGATGGATGTACACAAGATTCAATGTCAGGGCATAATCACGCCGTCCTTAGAATAGGAAACGAGTGCCATAGGTAGTAAGCGATATGTTCCATAGATAGTAAAATACAAGTTTTATAGGTTGTAAAAGACATGTTTCATAGATAGTAAAAGGTATGTGCCATAGGTAGTGAAATACAAGTTTCATAGATAGTAAAAGACATGATAAATAGGTATCAAAGCCAAGTTTCATAGATAGTAAACGACATGTTCCAATGTTTCACATATAGTAAAATATATGCTTCATAGAGAGTAAAAGACATGTCCCTTAAGTAGCAAAAGTAAAGCCCTATAGATAGTAAAACAATAATTTCATATATAGTAAAAGACATGTTCCATAGGTCATACAAAACATGCACTGATGATATACATGCATCACAGACAGCACAAGAACATGTTCTATATAGAGTACGAGAAAAAAAGTCTAAAAATAGAACACGTACTGGTCAGAGGCAGGTTTCACTCGTACGACGCTGGTGAAGTCAAATTCGGAATCAAACTCATTATCAGCAGATCGAACATCGTCTATATCTATCTATAGGAGTAGATAATTTAAAAATATATTGAGAACAAATTAGGAAATATGTTAAAAATAGGATGAGGACTCGTACCCGGGTGTGAATCGCGCTAAAAGCACGGGTCAGGTACAATATAGGAAATTGCACCCCCATCAGTGTACCAGGCATACATACAACTATATATCCACACACACAAACACACACACACATATATATATATATGCACACACACACACACATATATATA